TGACTTACCTGTGACGGTTAGCTCGGTTCCTCCTCCGAAGACATACCACAGTGATGCACAGCTATACAAAAACCTAGTGTCATTTCATAGCAAAAAAGTCACAGAGATTTTAAAGAGAAAAATCATAAACCTCTGTTTCATATTAGAACAGGACAGGAGATGTCCTTGATATAGTTATTTCAATTTTCTTAAATCCCATGGAGTGCATTTTTTTGGGGGGGGGAGAAAAAGCCAATGGCCCATTTTCAGAGTAGTAAAAGACGAGCCTGTTGGTGTTTTATAAAGATCTCAAGGTTCCATTCTTGAAATGATTCCTTTCTGGATATAGAGAGATTTCTTGAAGATTGAGTTAAGCTCAAGTGTCTGCAGCTTTTCCACTTTAGCAAATATAAGCTATGTTTAAGAAGGGCGACAAGTTACTTTGTAGGTACCGACATTTTTTCTATGCTCGAACTGTTTTTGATGAATTTAAGCCAATGCACTAGATCTGTTGAGTAGATCCACCAGACATGGATCAGTTTTCTGATTCTGACTTATCCTATCTAAATGTCCTTGAGGTTGAAAACTCAGTGAATCATACAGGATAGATAGCTTTCAATTTCTCGGGACACCTTATATGAGGAACACTTCCAAGAAAGCCCTGGACCATGGGTAATGCCTGCGGGTATTGAGATCTACCTGTTGAATTTCTAATAAGGACAACTGAGATTTTTCTACAATTCTCTACCTGCTTATTTGCAGGTTACCTTAACTGTAAATACAAGAGGTCATTCCTTGTTAATATTGTGCCTTGTGTGGAGACTTGGAATGCTCCATTGTGACTGTGTGATGTCCTTGAGAAGGTGTACCTTCGTGGAAACTCTGGGATAGTTTGTAAAATAAGTTTTGAAATATGTAGAAGTGATAAACAATATCTTCTAAGATTTCGACTCTGGTCCAGTTTTTTTTTTTTAATGAGAAGCAGCGCAACTTTTAAGTCACTTGGACCTGACGTGATTCATAGATCTGAAAAGAATCTGGGATATTTAGATGGTTCCTTAAATGTTGGCTCCTTTTTTTCCCTTTCATATTTTGTCCTCAAGAAATGAGGAATTTGCTCTAACCTAGAAGTTGAGTCCTTTAAAACCATCCTCTGGACTTGAACTGTCAATCAGAGCTAAAACACCAATTCCTGAACCTGATGAACTCCAGTCATGATGGAGAGATGGAAGTTTTCTTATTAAATAACCACAGCCCAGGTGTTTTCAAGCCAATGGTGAAATATTTACTTCTAGCCCTACTTCGGTCTTTCCATGATTGTCAATGTTTTTTCCCCTTTAATTGTTAACGTTATAGCATTTCTTCCTTTTATATATGTTTGTAATGTCACTTTTGGCATGAATTAATAGGTGTTGTACTTTTACAATTTGTGACTTGGGAGATAGTAGATAGATGATAGATAGATAGATAGATAGATAGATAGAGAGAGAGAGAGAGAGAGAGAGAGAGAGAGAGAGAGAGAGAGAGAGATATGCTGGATAGATAGATAACTAGATGATAGACAGACAGACAGACAGACAGACAGACAGACAGACAGACAGACAGACAGACAGACAGACAGACAGACAGACAGACAGACAGACAGAGTATAAGACTGAAATATCCCATTCCATCCAATCCTATATATTGATATCAGCTGGAGGACTGGTTAAAGTTATTGGAAGAATCTCTATGATCCCACATCTCCCCAAATTACTACTAAAGAACAAGGCATTTTCATTTCATATATGTTTACAATACAACTTTTTGCATGAATTAAGGATATGGGTACTTTTACACTTTGTGACTTGAGAGATAGTAGTTCAACCATATATTTACTATATATCAGTTGGAGGACGAGGAGTTATTGGAAGGGCTGCCGTGGTCTCATATATTCCCAAATCTGCTAGCATTGCTACTAAAAGACAAGACATTTTCATTTCAAACTTGAGAAGAATTCATGTGTGAATTTATTGCAACACCCATGTAGGGATCCAAAACCAGATGATGGTTCTTGATATTCCCAAGAGAATCAGACCTAGGTTTGTTTGGGGTTTTTTGGTAACTGGTTAACTGGGCAAAATTGTATCTTGGAAACAGACTACTTTTCCTTGAAGATAACCAAGTTTATACAGCTCTGTATTCTTGATGAATTTGATGAAACAATCACGCAAAAGCCTTGTCTTCCCACAACTACTCCTCTTAATAAATTCGGCAAAACAGTCACACAAATGAAATACATCCATCTTTATTAATATGCTGACAGTAGAATCTAGCAGATCAAGGACGGGGGGAATCGATTTGAAGGGCGAAGGCATGGAGGGGATACAAAGAGTGTAACTACATGGGA